TGTACAACATTGTGCTTGCCCCCCCCCCCGGTCATGTGGCTGCATTTTGGGCGCTTGGCAACCAGCTTGCATTTATGATTGATTGCCAAGTGCCCTGTGATTGCCATTTGCAATCTTCTTTCTGAAGAAGCCAGCAGGGAAGGTTGCAAGCAGAGGGGACAGAGGGAAACCTCAGTGGTGTGCAGGAATGGAGCTCAAATCCTGAAGATGTGAGCTCTGTTCCTCCAGCCCCATGAAGGATTTCTCTACTGTGCACAGAGGGGAGGGTAAACCCTTCAACAGGCTGCAGGAACGTTTGAGAACAAAAAGAGTCGAAACCCTTCAGCAGGCAGCTCTTTCGCTTCTCCGCTTAACAATCCAAGAGTTTGCTTAATGACTGCAACCGGGAGTGCTCAGATTGTGGTTGTTGAGCAAAGCAGACATGTGGGTGTCTTGCTTAATGACCACTTCATTCAACAATCAAGATTCTGCTCCCAATTGTGGTCATTAGGTGAGTACTACCTGTATATCCCATGTCCATTTATATCCCATTTCCATTTATATTGACTTATCTTTTCCTTTCCCTTCTCACTTCCCCTTGAGGGAGAAGGTGAGGTTCATTTTCTCTTCTCAGTCAGTGAGATCCAGAGTCCTTCAGTCTCCAAAATGTATTATGGGTTTGCAAAGTCAGGTCAAGCACACGTGGACATGTTTGGTAACACTCCACAAGCAAGCAAGACCTCAAAACAGAGAAAATGAGGTGTATTTATAATATGAACAACAAGGAACTACAGGAGAATAACGAGATTGGTTACAAATTGATCATAAAAAAGCAAAAAGTTTAAAATAGATTCTGTTCTGATTTACACACCTGTAAATGTCAAATTACAACTTCAGTTGACTCTAGCTGTCTGACCAACATCCTCTTAAAGCTGAACTGCTAATACCGAGGTGAAGCTATCCTAAAAGCTTGCTCATTAATGGCTGCTATACTTAAAACTCTGGCTATGTTTAGCAGCCTTATGGTAAAACACTTTTTAATATTCAGATTACTTACATTTTTCCACAGTATCAGCATCTTTTCTATAGGAAGCATCAGTTCACACACAGGTACTATATAATCAGTGTTGCCTGTGTTGTTTTTCAAAGCACCCATTGCAAAAATTGTAAATACATTAAGAACCAGAGATTCAGGCTTTCTATGAGTGCAATAGAATATTTCATCATACAGTTTTCTAATCAAAGCAGAACAGTCCAGTGACTAAATGCACGACCACAGCTTTCCATCAGGGGAACAAATGTGCCTTCAGCTGCTTTTCAGCTCTTACTATTTTTTTCCTTACAAAACATATTTCCTACAATGGTGCTTCCATCTTCAACTGATTGTTTTTGGGTGAGGTTTCTTTTTTTTTAAATTATGTCAGCAATGTCTGACTTGCCAACATATACAACAGAAAATGCTGGTTTATGGTGCTTAAATGCATAAGGCTTTCTTTTGTTTTTTCACTAAATGAACATTTAGATTTGGGGGCATTTTTTTTTCTTAGCAAATTGCTCAGATGAACTGCACCCACAGAGATTTTTGGTCATTGCATTCAAACTAAAAGATGCATTTTGAAAAATAAAATAAGTTATATCAGTTCTATGCATTCTTAAATGAAGAATTTAACTTTTAAAACCGCTTTTTGCCCAGATGGATCCACGCAGCTTACATTACTTTCTGTGTTATCCTACTTACTACAGCTGTCAGTAGTAAATACCAGATTCCAAAGGCTTCTTACCAGGCACAATGAGCAGCAAGTACAGGCACAAATTATTGCATGCTAGTAAATATTTCTGTATGAATTCCAAGAAAAAAATGACAAAATAAGTTCCACTGGAGCTTTTTCTACATAGGAATAAAATGAATGGAAGTCTCAGAAGACTGCAATTTGTATAAATCCCATTCATTTGAATAGGGCTTGCACAGGAGAAGTTCTTACCATCTCTTCTACTAGTTATTATATAGGAGACTTTAGGTAATAATTGAAAAATATAATGAACATATATGTCTGTATTAGTAAAATCTCAGGTTAATGGACCGTTCAAAAGAAGGGGATGTTTGTTAAATCAGTAGGTCCATTAAGTCTGGCTTAGCATCTTTTGCATCCATTTACATCATTTTGTAATTATGTAATTAATATAAATGGCATCATTTGCAATAATATTTTGATTTAACAGGATGGGGATAAAATGTCTGTTGTATCCAAAGTCCACTGAACCAAGGGTTTATTTAAATTATTAATGTGTATGTTATTTAGTTATAAAATCTACATTGTTTCTATCCTCCTTTCTGC